ACGTCAAATTACAGCTCGTGCGAGAAATGAAGTTGCTCGACCTTGCCAAGCGACATGGCTTCGCTCTTTGGCCTCTTGAAAAGTTCCAAGAAGATCCGACGTTTTCGAGCCAATTTTTATTCAGCGATGAGCCTTAGGGGGTTTGTAAATAAGCTGTAGATATGAAGCTCCTGTGCTTTTTCTTAAAAAAAAAGTAGGGAACCTCGAAATGGATCACCCTTTAATTGTTTATGAAGGTGCCACATATTCACATAAATAACATGAAGGTTTATTAAACGTGCAACACATACATATGTATGTAGATTTCTCATGTTAACATTACTCAGCAACTGTTGCCTTTTGATCAGCAGCAACGAGCAACAGATTATCAGCTTACGAAGCGCTATGAACTGGCTGCCATATTTTGTAAATATACAAAAACACGAAACGGACTGCATTCGATCTCACACACCTCGAATTTGCCAACACAGCTGATGTGAAGCAGATCGCCAGCGTGCGATCGACACAAATGTGGCAGCGCCTTTTGGAGGCATGTCTCTTTGTTTAATTAAGTGCGGCCTAGCAATGGGCGGGCATTTTCCTAGGCATGCATATTGATTTGTTTATTTATCAAAGTGTAAGCTGATAAAGCAAGAACTCTGCCAAATTCTTATATATGTGTGGTTGATACGAGGGCGATTTGATATCCAAATTTACTCACATATTATAAAAATTTGTGCACAAACTTATGTTTTAGAAGTCTTCAAGAGCAGAATTTATTGAATACGTTTGATGGAACGAAGTATATTTCCTACTTTGGAGTACGATCTATATTATGCCGAAGTTCGAAAGCTTACAATATTATTTAAGGTTATCAAATTCGAATTTTAGCAATAAATAGACACTTTCTTTTCTTCAAATACTTAAATCAAGGTTTTGAAGTCGTACACCCCTATCTCAAATATCCTTGATTCAAGTTTATCCGTAGACAGTTTTCAGATCTCTGCGATCTCTACTGCATTGGAGTGCTAATGGAACCAATTTCGTTCCATATTTATGAAATATGGGGAACAAATTCTTCCGCGCTATTTACAAACAATATAAATATTATAGGAAAGAGATTACGCTTTTTCTGCTCCCAGATTTGTTGTAAATTATAAGGGTGATAAGCTTCACACAGTATAAGATCCTTAAACAAAAACTTTTCAGATAACACTTTACATACGATTTTTCTTAACCCTTTTTTTTTCTTCAACCTTTTATATGAGTGCTTAATAGTTTTGAGTGTTTCTCAATTATGAAGAGTGTCGTCGTTTTAAACATTCTGCCATCATTCCAATAATAGACTGTTATATTTTCGTCACAATATAGTTACTATTTTATACTATATTTACTACTAACTTAACTATAACTTAACTTTGCTTAAACTGTCTCTAATTCGCACAAAGAGCCTTTTTTTCGATCGTTGGTTCTATTGAGTGGAATTTAAGGTTACTGCTTAGTATGATTTCATCTTTTTGATCGCCATAGCAAAATTCTAAAAATCAAATGTACAATAAACAATGAAATCATTAAATATGTGCTTCAAATGGAGTAGGGACCCACTAATTCGATTTAGCCGTGGCGGAATGCCTATCCGTCTGTCTACGAATATGTGAACTATTCCCTCAGTTTTTGAGATGTCACTCTGAAATTTAACGCACATCTTTTTCTCCCCAAGAAGCTACTCATTAATCAGAACCGCCGATATCAGATTATTATAACATTGCCATAAAAACTGAATGATCGAGAAAACTTATTTCTGACAAGGTATCTTCACCAAATTTAGCATGGATTATGCGCTAAAGCAATTAACAAAGAAGTTCTGAAATTTTTGGAAAAAATATTTTAAACTCAGCCATTGCGACGCCATTTCTGGTGGCCTCTCGGAAAAAAGATACGCTCACGTTGGCATGATAACTCCTTACAGGATCTCCTAAAGTTAAAAGTTTGACGAATGAAAAAAGGAATTGAAAATTGGATTTTCGGCAGACATTTTTACAAAAAAAAATCACGATTTCTGTGAAAATTTCGCGACATTTTTTTTTCTTTTCAAATAGTTGTAATCGAAAAAAAAATCCTTCATGCAAGTCTTTAAGAAAAGCATTTCAAATACCTGTATAAAATTTGAAGAAGATTTCTTGAGTAGTTCTTGAGAAATCTTGCCAACAGACTTCAGAAACACAGTTTTGAGAGAAAAACGCGTTGAAAGACGGCTTACTTAGGCTGGCTAGCCTCAAGCGCGTTCTCAAAGCTATATCTCCGAAATTATTACTAGGACCAACTTGAAAATTTTAAGAAAATATTCTAGAGATGTTGTAACATTGAATAAGATAAAAAAAAATCTACTTTTTGAAACCCATAAACCCATGTAAACCTATAAAGACTGAACATTCGGAATCAAGCGCTTGTACGAATTTTTTTTTTTTTATTTGTCGAGATACCATCTCCAAATTTAGCATAAATTGTTTCCTAAAACAATGGTGTAAAAATTATTCAGATAAACTGATCGAAGTCGAGTTCTTATAAGTATATATTTGAAGGATATTGCAGCTTCAGTGCAACTTTTCTATAAGTATTTTATCCCATAAAAATCTTTAATGAATTTCAAATATTCACGATTTATCGATCTTTCCTCGTATGGCCTTCATACATAAACTTCATCATTTCACACATTTAAATTCACATCCGCGATATCTAATACATACTGTACTATCATAAGTTGGTATATCAAAAAGGTTTCTTGGGCGCCAGTTAAAACAAAAAAATAAACAAGGTTTTCATAGAATTCGCATAAATATTTAGCCAAAATAGTTTCTTAAAAGTGCTTGAGATTTGCATATACATAAACATATGACTCATTTTTGCTGCAAAGCAAGCGTGTCTTCAGCTGCCTTTTAGTGCCACACATTTCGGTAAAATATTTTTAAAAAAATCCCTCACAAAATACCAATGTGTTCCCGCATAAATCACTCGCTATCACGCATTAAAAGCACGCACTAAATCACACCACACATAAGCATAAAAACATACATAATCTCCATTCATTCATTCAGCGAAGCGAACATAAAATCTCCATCCCAAATTGTCGGGATCGGCATTCTTGTGGCGATCGACATTATAAAGCTCTCACATCCGTACCTAATTTACCTCCATCACCCAATTAACATGTTAGACACACCGCAGCATAACGGAAATTGCTGGCATATGCTATAACGGACGATGTTTTGCTGCCAAGTTCCTAGTGCTAAACCCGTTGCCAGCTTTGAATACCTGAAAATTTTCGGCAAATTTTCATGGATTTTGAGCGCGTTGAAATTAATCTGAAACGCTAAATTTCAAATTTCGTACATTTTATGGCATTTTCATTGTGGATGTGTGTATTTTATACTTAATTAGCATTGAAAAGGATTTTCTGCTCATAATTTCTTGAGAAACAAGCTGACAGTAAAATGCCAACGCACGACTTTGATTGCCAATTAACAATTACGAATGGATTGGCAAGCCTTTGTCAGGCATTTTGCCCGATGATCTCATACAGACTGACACATTTGTTGCTTGACAGCTCAGTGCGCCTTTGAAAAAAGTATTTCCGTATTTTAAACAGATACTTTCAAAGAAATATTTATTTTTGAGACCTATATAGAAAGTTATGTATTTATTTTTAGCAGTTGTCAATTCTGTTGTTCTTTTTTAGTAAAGAGTTTCATGTGAAAAATATATGCATAAGTATATGACTCAATTTCTTTTTCGTCCCAACACTAAAATTTCGTTGCGCATTACCAAACAATCAACGACACTTTTAATGTATAATGCAAATCGCGGGTTTTTTAAAACATTTATCTAGCTCTTAAACCTTTCTTGCATCCATTTTTAAATTCAGTATAACTTTTACGTCTCCGATCTTGCATCGTCTTAGAATCGAACATGAATACTATTACATAAGCATATCATTAAATTTATACTGCCACATTTTTAGTAAAGTTAAATTCATCTAACGAACTTTAAATATAAGGTCCAGTAAAAAAATCAACATTTAAAAGTATTAGCTATGCTAACATAACTATTATGATCTGACTTATTTCAAGTAGTCACCATTTTATTAAGAAACTTGTTATCATTTGCATGGCATTCTCTTGGAACCCCTTGCTCTTACTAGCAAAAAACTTAGTCGATTCTCTCAAGCTTCTCTGATGGATAATTTTTCAAGTGAAAAATCCTTAGCCAATGACAGAAACAAATAGATCCCTTGATGCCGGATTCCGACTACGAGGTAGATGCATAAGAACCTGCCAGTCAAACTCACGGAGGTTCTGGGAAGTTACTGTCGACGTGGGTGGTCTGGCGCCGTCTAGATAGAGCACATTTTCTCTCATATTAGCCAAAGTTGGCTGCTTGTAGGGGATAGCTTCGCTCATACGGTCCAATTCATGAGAGTTCAGGTCCGATTTCAGAGTTTGGCCGTAGTAGAGCAATTTAAAATAATATATCCCTAAATTGCCACCAAATACATATCAAAACTTTTCTGATCATCAGTCCTGACCTGACCACCGCTTACGCCGATTATACGCAATTCGACCACGACGATTTTTAACGGCGATTCGTAGATAGACATTTGGTCCATAAATTTTTTGTGCTTGGCACCCATACTTGCATCTTTTGCACCCATCTTCGAACGCCATTTTTAGCTCCAGGGCAATATAAACAGTGCTTACATGATGCTCAGACTATAAGATTTTAATTGACTATCTAAAGCCTTGTGTATCTTTGACATCAAAATTACCGGGACGGAATCGATGAAGTGAAAATTACGGCTGTCTGTCTGACTGTTACCATATCAGAGCCATTGTCTGAACGTGATCCCTTTTCCTCATTAAATCAAAAAAATTAATACCCAAGCATATTTGATCATTTAGCTTTTATATCACTTAGTATTGTTCACATAATATAATTTTTAATTCAACTTTTTCTTCTCTTTCCAGAACATGTCCTAGACCTGGCAGAACAATCAGAGAATAAAACACTTGCGGTCTTTTCACAAGTTTACCGACGCATGGTGCCACAATCGAGCGAATTGATCCATCAACTCTATTCCGAAATTATGAAGTAAGCCTTGCCACATTTACATCTGCCTCTTACACTTTCGCTCATTCTCTCTTTTTTAAATCCCAATCTAATGACTAACCTTCGCTTGTCTTGTTTGCCTATTTCCAGCCATTTGAGGAATTCGAATAGCAATAACGTCAACAGCGGTAGCGTCAACAATCTGAACAATCTGGAAGAAGCAATACAGAAATTCTTTGTGAATCTCTTTCCGGTCGCCTATCATCAGGCAGTGCACTTGAGCAAGGATAATTACGGCGAATTACATGAGGATTATATCAATTGCTTGAAGCACACATTCGATGATCTGCAACCGTTTGGCAGCATACCACAGGAGATCAAACGCAATTTGTTGCAGAGTGTACAAACAGCGACAATGTTCTTAAATTCATTGCAACAGAGCGCTGAGGTGCTCAGCGAAGCTGATCAATTGTATTCGTTGTATCTAAGCGACAACTGTCAAAAGCATTTGCTCAAAATGAGGCACTGTCCTAGCTGTAATGGTTTGCAGAAGACACAAGTGAAGCCGTGCTACAGTTATTGCATGAATGTATTGCAGTAAGTATAGTGATGGCAGTGCGTAAAATCTGAGCCGCGTAAATCACTATTACGAAGTTTGCTAATCAAATTTGCTTAAGACTGAGGATATTAAAGAACTAGATTAGGAACGTCATATAACTACTATTGTAGAAGCTGTCAGTGGATAGAAAAGGAGGGGACTATAAAACATCTTCTATGTGAGTTTAAGGCCTTATATAGGAAAAGAATCGCAGCCATCGGTCGAAAGTTTCTTGGTGACGGCTTGGAGTTTGCACAAGAAAATCTTTTCACACTGATGACCTTCATCAGAAGCACGGGGTGGTGAGAGTGAGAAGACTTTAGTCTCCGCGGTTTCACAATGAGCCTCCTAAAGGCCTAGGTGAATCGTCAGACAGCCCCTCTACTCACCTATCTACCTATTTTGAAGGTTCATAAAAAGTGTTTGCTCTCATCCTAGGTTGTTTGCTACTTTTCATTGGTAGTGGTTTACGTGGCGCGTCTCACAATTCGGGGTATGGATGGTTCACCCTCTCATTTTAGTTCATCTACACGCGGATGTTTTTTGGCTGCTTGTGCCATATGGAAAAGAATCGTTTCTGGTTACTCTCAAGTGAATGATGCTCAGAAAGCTTTCCTCACTTCCGTGAACTTTTACACATGGCTTTATCCTCCATTGGGAACTTACACATTACTGTTATGTAATATGCCATTTTGAATTCTTAAAATAACTCACAATAGGCTCTTACTTTAACTCGTGTCAAACTCTCCTATCAAACCAACAGATAGGGCCTGATAACAACCTCACAAAACCAAAAATGTAGCTAGCAGCCCACATATAAATAAAGGACTTTCATTCCAATCAGATAAAAGGCGGCAGAAACTATTATGTCAATATTAATATGATAAATCATTTTTTGATTTTTACAGTGGTTGTTCGGCTCAATACGCTGGCGTTTTGGAAGGCCCTTGGTCCAATGTTGTTGATGCGATCCAGAATTTAGTGACAACTCATATACGATCTGATAGTGGTATTGTAACAACAATTAAACAACTAGATATTAAGTTGTCGGAAACGATCATGCGTGCTATGGAAAATGGACCTAACCTAGAAATGAAGGTAAGTAAAGAATTAAATGAAAAAAATTACAAATGAAGTATTGTGTTAGGATCTTTATTATATTTCATTAAGTGTGGACGCTTTGTTTAACATATTTAAAATGATCGGTATTTTGGTCAAATTTTCACCGTTTTCTTCAATAACTTGTTGTCCCTTTAAAGTAATTTCATAATGTCAATCTCATAATAATCACTTGGTGTCAAATCCGGACTATAAAATAGATGCATAAGAACATCCTAAACAAGTTATAGTTGCTTCCGGGTACATAATTCCTCTCCTATTAGCCAAAGTTGACCACTTTGAGGCGAATGCTTGCTTCACCGGGTCCAATTGTTGGCAGTACAGATCCAAATTATCATAAGAGTTCGGTCGTAGGGAAAGAGCGCATAGTAAATTCCTACTAAACACATGACAAAAACTTTCTGAGCGTCAAACTTGGCCACTACTTTATTCCGTCAACAGCTCACCAAGATTCGACCTTCTTCTCTGAACATTGCCGTAAGTGACCACTTACAACATTACCAGTAACATTTCGTTCAGAAATGGATTGCTTTCAATGCGATTCAGCAGCGAATCGCAGATGAAAATGCGGTCCATGTACAATGTGATGTTTTTTCTGTCTCTCAATCTTCCTTCAGTTTACAACTTCTCGAATAATTTATTGGAATATTTTAATTTCTGCAATTCCTTGTTCCCACCTTCAATGCTTCTTGTCATTTTGTAAATTAAAACCAATGTTGCTACTACATTTCGTTATTTAAAGATATCTACAACTCTATAAACCAGTCAATTTTGGAAATACTCATACCATACATACATACACAAATTAATTTTAGGGTATACCATCAACTGTCATGTGCTAGTATGACAACAGCTGATAATATCAAATTTACAGAAAGTCGTAATACACCGGTGCTGTATAAACCGAAAAGATAAAACTATAGATTAGTCACTACGGAGTCTATTCTAGGTAGTTTTGAAGTAGTTTAGACTATTTATTTGTCATCGATAATAAATAAGAGTCACGAATATTATTTACCACCCTAATCCGAACTCGTCGACTCCTGTACTCTATGTTTTCTTACCCTATAAAATCTCCCCCCTATGTTATGTTGTGTGCCACTTCTTCTCCCATTTTTGCTTTAATTAAATATCTCCAGCTTTGCCAATATTTTTATACGCCAATGTGGGTTCCTACAACAATAACGATATATGCAGAAATGTTGGAAAAAATCGTCGCCCTTGTGTGTATAACTTTTTAGGCTCTCACTTTACTTGGCCGTAATTTCAAACAATAAAGTGGAGCAAATAAATGTTCCAGTTTTTATCTCCCTTTCGATTGTTGATTTTTCAGTTTCTATTTTCAACTAAAAAGCGAAAATCACTAACCGGCAAAGCGATACGAGTATAAGAAAGGAGTCGCACATTGCTTGTAAATTTAAATGAGATCGATCGATTCAATTAATCAAATCCGTTGTTTGGTGTTGTTTTTGTGAAACGTGTAGTAGTTAGTGCATGCCTTTTAGGTTTCAAATAAGTGTAGGTAAATAATACTTGGAGACCAATGTGCAATTGTGTATTCAAATTTTGTATTGATATTGATCGCGAATTTCTACGATGCTTCTTTTTTATTCAAATAGTTATTAATTTTTAATTATATGAAGCAGTCGTAGTGGAGATTATAATTATAATTAATTATAATATAATTAATATATTCTCTAAATTAGAGCCTGAGATATCCAATATCTACATATGTACATAATCTGCATAATAGTGCTCATCTCTTTGAATACATCCTTAGACTACCTCGTCTATTAAGTTTTTTCCATTTGGAACAATTTCGATGTAACTGCATGCTTCCTTAACATACATTTAATCATACTCTAGTACCAACAAATCAGAAGAAGTGGAGGTTGCACCATACTTGCTGTGAGTCTATTTGAACAACTGATATACTACTCTTTAGCACAAGGCAACTCTACTTTTTTATATGAAACTGCTACATTCCAGCTAAGAACTGAATCCTTAATCTTATTGCTTTCCATAAAGGAAAAATCTCCAAAACTTTAAATTTGATGGAGAATGTTTGTTATCATTCGAAAGAACATTTTGGAATTTCAAACGTTGGCCGCGGCTACGACTCAGATGGTCCATCCGTTGAGTCCAATTTTCGATGACACATTTAAGCATTTCAACTGGTAACTCATTCACCAGATACCAGTCTGGTGTTTAGCTCCAAGCCTGAATCGAAGCTGAATTGTCCGCAAAGACTTTATCCCCACAAGATAAAGTCTAACGGTGTGGTATCGCACTATCTTGCTGTCCACCGCAGCGCTCACTTAATAAATCCATTGATTGATGCGATGTGTGGAAAGTGGCGCCGACTTGTTGAAACCAAGTGTCGCCGAGACCACGAGCTTCAATTTCAGGCATCAAATAGTCGGTTAACATGGCGCGATAACGGTCGCCATTGACGGTTACGTTCCCACCAGCATCATTTTTGAGGAAATATGGACCGATAATTCCACTGGCCACAAACCTCACCAAACCGTTTTTTTTTTTCTGGATGAAATGAAATCTTGAATCTCCTCACGTTGTTCTTCCTTCCAAATGCATCAATTTTGCTTGTTTACATACGCATTGAGAAAAAAATGGGCCTCAACGCTGAACAAAATTTGGTTCGAAAACGTTGGATCTTCTTGGAACTTTTTAAGCTATAGGACAAATCGATGTCTCTTAAGAAGGTCAAGCGGCTTCAGTTCTTACACAAGCTGTATTTTGGAAGCTTTCATTTTAAGATCTTGATGTAAAATGCGTCGTTAAATGAGTCTGAAGATGGGTGATGGTGTTCTGAATAGTACGCTCAGTAGGCCGATTACGTTGACCAAAAATTGAGCATAACACACTAAATAAATTATTTACAATTTTCGTAATAGAGTTGAACAATTTGTAAAAGTAGTTCAGACGTAAGTCTTTCCATGATAAAATGCCAAACAAAAATTAACAAAAATAACATGACAGTTTGACACGACTCTCTCGTGATCTGTCAAAAAAGCCTATTGAAAAAATTACCTCTACTTGGATCACCCGTTACATAGCTGGAAAAACCCCTGACTGTCGTTAAAAAATATTAAATTGTAATTTGTTTTTATCGCTTATGCTGTTGATTTCTCTGAGTAATTATATAAACAAATTTCGCTAATCGTTTTCGTCAAACAAAGAAAGAAGGAAGCTAATTACACGAATGCTTGATGGGGGTGCGTGGAATTCAAATATTTGCATGCTCGTATGAAACATACATTTACACTACCATTCTAAGGGAAAAGCAAACAACAAAAAGTGGTACCTGCTGTTTGCCAATTTATTGCCACTTTGACAAATTATGAAAGTGCCTCGACAATGATTGATTAATGCACATTAATTTGACCTTTCGTCATTCGTTGGTTCGGGCGTAGTCACGGCGCCCATGTTGTGCAAGTGAAAACTATTGTGCATCGCATGGTGTAAATTTTTGCCAATCCTCTGGTTTAGTGCCACACGGTGTCGCTGCGGCAAATTGTTTCACGTACATAAGTACATATGTACATATGTGAGTAGCGAGGAAGAAGGAGAGCTTTGTGAATAACGATGACAAAGTCAGCTCAAAACTGCATTCCGTTACTCATTTCATTGTTGGTTGTAATTGATAATAATTGCGCCAGACTGCAAATGCATGTCTTCTCTACAACGAAGTATTTTTTGATAAAGTGACACCCACTGGGTGCGCTGACCATGAAATGTTGACATTATCATGAGTGACAGTAAGGTTTCTGAACGTGACCAATTTGGATTATATTAATAAATTCTAGGAAAAACTGTAATTTGAGTATACTCATGATTTAAGTGTTGTTGTCCAGTGGTATGTGTTTTTGTAATATAAAACGAAAGTGTTATTAATTCACTAGCAAAAAATTTAAAATTTTATGAAATGCAATTTTAATTATGTGGTTCTCTCAGCTTGATTTCATCCATGTCCGGGGAAAAATTTCAGTGAACATCGTGTTTTAACGCTAGCTAATGATGGTAACGGTATTTATCGTCCCACTTTGGAAAAAATGCGAACCGTTTAATGCGATTAGTGCGAAAGTGGTCCAATATCGGCGATTCCGATAAATGAGCAGCGGTTTGGAGAGGAAAGGTCGTTTGCATAGGTTAGGATAGGTTAGTTTAATCTGGTGGACCAATAAGCCACGCATGGATCAGTTTGGTCCTTTGTGATACCATATCGAGTTCACTTCCCTGCTGCCTTACTCCAGGCATTTCCTGCAGATCTGTCAGCCCCATATTGCGGGCGTGTGCCGCCACCAGACAGTAACCAATTAGTATTCCCATCATGCTCCTATTTTCTCTTCTATCGACTCGCAACAGGAATGCTGTGTACTTCCGTACTACCGTTTTTCACATGACTTTTGCAGTTTTGCACCCAGGTAAGTCATTCCATGGAGTTTTGTTTATCTTTACCATGCTTTTGCCGAGATCGTCCACTATTTCATTGCTCTCAATGCCTTTGTGGCCTGGCACCCAGTAGAAGTTAAGTTGCTTACTTTTAGCAACAATTTGCATTGCTACCCTGCTTTCCAAGATATTTCTGGCCAATATGCGATACGAGGTTACTGACTTGATAGCTGCTATCTCGAATTGCCTGCAGGTGCATTAAGGCCAACTCCACTTTCGCAATAGGAAAGATCACAGCCTGAAATATACTGCAGCGGTCCGACAACCTTATGCCTAACTCCGGACAGTATATTCCCGCACCAACTCCATCATCCATTTTCAAATATAGATGTTTAGAGTGTTAGTCCTTTGCATACATTTAGTTCAATACTTTTAAAGCTGAAAGTCTACTTTCTCTAAATAGAAACGAATGAATAGATTTATATGATTAAATGGACTTAGCTCGTCACACTAGTCATTTGCGCATAGTGTGTGCGCATGGTACCCGATTTTGGCTTCTGTATGAC